TATGATCGTCTAAGTTGGTTTTGAGCATCAAACCTTCCGCAGAAGAATACGTTTGCATTCCATCTCTTAGAAAATATACACCAACAATTATCATTCCCGCTCCACTTCCCACCATCGCTCTCCTATCTTATAATTATAAACTCAAATTTTGTGATGGACTCCGTGCTTTTGGTAATTGTTTTGACCATACTTGGTACTTGTAATTTACACGAACCGTACGATTGCCCGACTGATGTCCCCAAAACGCCAACACGGAATAGGATAAGAACACGCTTAGCCACGAAAAAAATATATTGATAACCAGCAAGTCCTCCTCCCTTAAAGGCTGCGTGTATTGATTACATCCCGTTCAGATTGGCTACGCCCTGTCCAATCCGCTTGACGGGGAAGCTCTAGAAGAGCCGAGCAATTTCTCGCAGAGATGGACCAATCAGATCTGACGAAAGCTCTGCGTGGTTCTGAGCGCACGTTTATTGGATGTAACCTGATCGACGTCTGCACGTGTTTTTTTGTGAGGCTGACTCGTCGTGGGAATAGGGCATGCCCAACAGTAATGAGAACACGAATGCTCATGTACTCACTGCGAACGAGCTATTCGCAACCAATAATGGATTCGTTGGTTCTCCCCGGTACTGTACTGCTATATTTTTCTATAGATTTCATGGACATACTGACTACGTGGGGGTTATTGCCACAAAGGATAAATCGGGTGAATTCCGGTCTTTTTAAATCTCTACGATCCAAAAAATATCGGTGAATCCTACTGCCATGTACTGACTTTACAGAAGGACATCAGTTAGCCAACGGGCTTCAAGACCGACTTAGCTATCTCCTCGTTCAAATCGCCGCGAAGAATTCCGTACCCTCTCTCTTTCTCACCCAATCAATCAAAATAGAAATAACAGAATAGATGTGCTGTTGCTGTCGGTGTTGGTACTGACACTGGTACACGCGCATTGCATGAAGCAACACTGTTCGCAACAGCACAGAGTGGACATGGAAACTGGTCACTGAGGTGAAGCATCGCTAGGTTGGAAATTTCATTGATAAACGGAGCCACTGAAACCGCAGGCATCTTCCATTCGCCATACGGAAAAGGCATAGCTGAGGTCTGAACGATTTGCGCTGGCCTCAGTCCCTAACCGTGGTTGCGCCTGCTGGTCCGAGGCTGGGCCAAAGTAGGCGTCCGTCGTTTTTGGCTCCATTTCGTAGGCATTTAGAACCGCTCCCACCATACAGGTATCGACGTCGTCACAGAGGGGTTTGAGTCCCTGAGAGTTGGGAAGGAAATCGCGTCCACTTCCCAGCTGGGTCCGCTTCACATCATAGCCTGTGGGCGACCAGGACGTGAGAATTTCAACGCTAGAATAAGAGCAGACTGTGGGATTGACGGTAGTCGGGGCCTTTGGTGACTCCTGAAGGACGTTCGAGAGGAAGTCAATGTACCTAAACGATAAGTAGCATATAATCGCTATAATATTTTATATATCGAATTATCCCAAATCGCTTAATGATGAATAATGATGAGGCGAACGTTTCGTCCAACTTGCTGCCTTTATTGTTTTTTGCAACTATAATTAGGTTTAACTTGGTGAGTTTATTCCTTAAACATATGTTTTCAGCAACTCATAACCAGGCCAGTACAATTAAATAAATAAATAAATTTTATATTTAAGGCCCGATAATTTAAATGGTACAGCTGGACAGGGTTACTAAACTTCCTTTGATTACAAGTCATTCGCTTCACGCCATCCGCATGACGAGATCGGCATGTAGAGGTCCTTGCGCTGCGTTTACTCTTTCACTTGCTCCTGTAGAGCAGGATAAATTGCCCAAACAACGAGGTATCTGGAAAAGAGGGTACGTGCACGCATATCAGCCTGGTTAATTGAAGGTAAAGGTAGATCAATCTAGAGTTCTATTCTCGCATACCTTTTCAATATGAATAATTGAGTCGACACTAAT